ACAGACTGCCTGTGTCTTACTTGGTGCCCATGTGCCCTTCTGCCTCCAGCTGTGGGATAACAGCATAAAGGCTCTCACCAGATGCCACTGTCCTTGGGATTTCTCAGTCTTCAGAACCACGAGCCAAATAAACTCTGTGGTGTAAATTTACTGCATCTTTGGTATTCTGTTATAGTAGCAGAACATGGACTAGTACAGTTTGCAAGCTTTAAGGTGTAGATGTTGTGAGAAGTCAATGTCTAATGTGTTTAAAACACTTCCAATAGTGAGTGGCACAAATGCATCTTCACAAAACAATGTGTACTGTGATGAAAGGCCCAAACCCAGCAAGCAAGGCATTTCGGGGGAAGGACCTACTACAAGGCACTTGCATTTTATGATGTGGAATCTCAAAATGCCTCATTCTTAGAATTCATAAAAAGACTTTAAATAACTTAAGGACATGGATAATTGTTCTTTCGGTGACAAAAATAAATACTGTTTTTTAACTTAAAAAAGGCTTATTGTTATTCTTGGTAGTCAATGGCACAAGAGTTGTTATTAGGAGGAAAAAATCTTGACAGCTTTAACTCCTACACACAGCGGATGTCATTTAATTTAAAAGTACAAACACACACAAAGGCAAGAGAAGAAATGCCTTTTCAAAACCATCCCCTTTTCAAAAGCTGAAGATGTCTTTCAAAACCCTACATAATATTTTTAGAGTTTATTTATAGAACTTAAATACTCTGAACACATTTTATGTAAAACTTAATGTTTTCAACTTTGAAAACTTTTTTTCATAAATTCTAGAAAAGGAAAGGAGTCCACCATATGACTATCAGCAATGTTGCCATCTAAGAATTTCCCCTAAATGTCACAGCAAACACACAGCGACTGTAGACCAGGTATGATTGAAATATACAGTGAATGTGAGGCAGAAGATTAAGGCATCACACACTGGCTGGGGAAGTGGGTGTGACCTGTCAATCAGAGTTCCAGGGTACATGCGCAGAACAGTTCCCCAACCCCTGTACCTGTCTGCAATTCTCACAGGAAGTCCAGCAAGTTTTTTTTTTTTTTTTTGGTACCGGGGATCGAACTTGGATCCTTGTGCTTGCGAGGCAGGCAGCGGGAAGCACCACTGAGATAAATACCTGGCCCAAGCAAGTTTTTTGATAGCACAGCCTAGACTTCACCTCAGCTGAGGAGAGGAAGATTCAAAAGATGGCCACCATCAAGCCAGAGGCCACTGTTAGCTCTTTCAGTGGCTCATCCTGGTACCCATTTTCTTACCTTTATTTGGCTCGAACTCAATGTGTGGAGCATGTTTCTTTTCATACCTTTAATAAATATAAAACTTTGCTACCTTTTGCACTTGTCTTGACCAGTTCTTTATTCAGGGCAGAAAGAACCTAGAAACCACCTCAAAAGGAGACTCCAGAACCCTAGGACCTGGTAACAAATGGGTGAGTGTTTTAAAATATTTATTATAGTAGGAGACACAATACATTTAATCTGCCTAGGAATACTACCCTTTGCTTCTAATACACTTATCCCAGTGTTCTTCACTTTCTGAAGGCAGGTATGAAAGTCCTCTTTTGTGAGTATCTTTACAATCTAAGATAAAAAAATATGATGAATGCTGCTGCCAAGTGCCATTCAACAGAAAGGCAGACTCATAAAAATATTATGGTGCTTCCTTACCTAGTTTACCAGATCTGGCACTGTGTAACTCCTGCCCCCACCAAGTCAAAATGACCATGAAAGGTAAACATTTTTAATTGATTCAGGTCATTGAGGCAGCTATAACAGTACAACTAAAGACACTCAGGAAAGAGGTCTTCTACAACTGCTTCAGACAGTGGCAAGAATGATGGATTAAGTGTGTTTAAAGTGAGAGGCAGTATTCTGAGGGGGATTAATAGCAATATGTTTCAGTCTGTCTCTTACCACAATACATATTTTTAAAATTTCAACATTCATTGTATTTTCTGATCATACCATGTCATCAAAACACATTGGGAAGGACTTGGCATGTGGTCTGGGGGAAGGTTGCCATCTTCAGAGGAACATAAATCTGAGCCAGTCCTGAGGCCATGGGCACAAAGCTGGCTAGTTACAGCAGGTCATGTGGGTTCAGCTTCCACTCATGCAGCACCCAGGGCAAGGAGACTGTGGCACCAAACTTTCAGGGGATAGGATTGGGAGTTTACAGAGGAAAGGAGCAGATTACTCTAGAAATTCCAGAGTAGTTTAGAATAATCCATTCCAGATCAGAAACCCTTTAGTCATGGTAAGGAACTATGTCAAGGCAAAGAATAAGTATGAAATGGTACAAACATTAGTCAGTTTTCCTGTTGCCAGGACACAAAACTACCTGACAACTAAAACTTAAAGGAGGAGAGGTTTATTTGGCTCAGTTTCCAGTTGACTCAGCCCAAATGTGACTGGCTCCAAAGCAGAAACAGCATGAAGTAAGGGCCTGGCAGAGGAGAGGTGTTCAACCAATGGCAGGCAGGAAGCAGGGAGAGAGAGGAGTCATCAGGGACAATACACTCTTCCTGGTCTCTCCCCAGGGATCCGTCTCCAACCAGGCCCCACCTCATAACAGCACATTCACCTCAGAAGTCCGCAGTGGAGGAGCCTACAGATGAGCATAGCACCTCTATGATCCAATCACCTTCCACACACATGAGACTCTGGGGCACATTTTGGTTCTGTACCATAAGAGCACACAAGAGAAATTTTGTTGTCAGGGAAATCCTTAGATAATGAAGACAGCCAGTCAGTACCCCAAGTGGGCTAAAATCTAAGGAGGGCTGTCCTTCAAGGAAGCAGTTTTCTGATGTGAATTCCAAATTGAAGAGAAGCAGTCAGGTGCATGCAGCACACAAACACTGTGTCAACAAGCCTCATGATCAAGTGTACACTTGCTCCCAGGGCTGACATCAGGCGGTGACATCACAGCCCCGATGGTGTCCATCTGGAGCATTCTGGATGCCTGATGTCACCCAGTCAGCTTTCTGACCACCCAGCTACCAAATAGGGAGCTCAATGGTCTGAGTGGCTCCCATGCCCACAGATGTGCTAGTTGGATATGTCCTTAGCCAGTGCTATGTTGGTCCTGGGAGACCAAATTCACAAGTGGAGCAGTGGACAGACCGTGTACAAAAACAGAACTTTGACCCAAACCTGAAGTAACAAGCCAGGAAAACAAATGTCTCTGCAGGAAGCATCTCAGGAAGATAGTATGCACCAAGTCTGACATGGAGGAAGTCAGACTACTGTCTCTAGCAATAACCCAGGAAGCCAAACAGTGACCATCAGTTCCAAATGGCCAGAATTTGATGATTAACTGACAGATGACCAGATTTTTGTCCATGTATCCAATCTAGGACCAACCAGAGTAGAGTAACTAAACATGTACTCCTTGCCAACTGCACAGGTTACCCATTCTTAGTCAGCAAGTCTTCAGCTCCTGCATGCCAACAGCCTCCAATTAGGCTCATCCCAAGGCTTCATTCTATTCTAGTATAAAGTTTCCTGCCTTCTCTACCTGCTATTGAGCCTCTGCCACAGACAGGCTAGGGGCAGTGGCTGACTCCCTTGCTATGGCAAGCTGGAGCCTTTACTTGTTCTCATTGAGTTGATTCCCATAGTATAATGTCTCTCTTGCCTTTCCCTGTTGGACTCTATCTCCTTTGCTAGCAAGAGTAGCATGAGGAAAATAAATTAACTTCAACAGAAAGGTCAACTGTTGCTCTAGGAAAAGGTGCAACTATCCATAGCCAGTACATACAATCACGGAATGCACTCTCTTCTTATTTTCAAGCATATGCAAGAGCCATCCAGAAAACATCCTTAGTAAAAAGTGTTTTATAATTAGAACAATTGACAGTTCCATTACATTCACCTGATGATATGAGCTAAATGAAATGAAAAACTATTGAGTCTTTTAAAATGCATCCTTACAGTCAATGCATATCAGTGCTCTCTGCTGCACCTTTTAGACCTGCACAGCCACTGTAGAATGCTGCAGGGATTCTAAGTTCATAATCACGGTCTCTTTGGCACTGCTGGAGACGGAGCCAAGAAAAGGTGAACTTTCAGTACCATTTACCTATGCTTATTTTTGTGTAATTCTCTGAAAATTGGCATTCTGAGTATAAAATGTATATTCAGAAATAATTATCAAAATGCTTGTGGATCAGAACTCCTGACTCTCCAAACATCCTGGGGAAAGGTCCTGCTAAGATTTGAATGGGTTCTCCAAAGTTTATGTGTGGGAAACTTCACCCCTCATACAAACATATTAGGAAAGGAGGTGGGAGCCTTGAAGAGGTGAAGAGGTACATCAATTAAGGTTTACTAGAGTAAAAGTATATGTATGCATGTGTGTGTGTGTGTGTGTGTGTGTGTATAATGTGTGTGTGTGTATGTATATGTATGTATGATACTGCAATGGCTGCCTGTGAAGTCAGAAGTGGAAGAATGCAGAGTGGCCATCTGTGTGCTGGAGAGCAGGAGGATCCAGTCTAAGGTCAAAGGCCTGGGGCTTACTGCAGAGTCTGGTGTGAGTCTATGTCACACTGCAGAAGGGTTTGCACTGGAAGGCTAAGAGTCTATCCTGGGAGCATGAAGGAGCTGGAGATTAATGTTCTCAGGCAATGGCAAAGACCAGAACTCCTATGAAGATGCAAAGGAAAGACTTATTTCTTTCTCTTTTTATTTCATCCAGGTTACAAAGCCTATTGGCTGATGCCACCCACATCAAGGGTGGATCTTCCCTCCTGTTTGCTGGCCTACATGTCAATCATCCACAGACACACCCAGAACTGTGTTCCACTAATCTGGTAAATGCTTCTTAATCCTTTCCAATTGACAAATCACAATTAAACATCACAGAAATAGATTAATGTTGTTATCATGGGAGGGAGCTAGTTATTGCAGGAGTGGACTCTTGATAAGAAGGATGAGTTGGTCCTCTTGCTCTTGATGATGCCTTCTTGGTCTCCTACCTTCTACCATGGGATGATGTAGCATGGAGGTCCACACACCGGACTTCCCAGCCTCCAGAGCCATGAGGTAAGTAAATTTGTTTGTTATGAATCATCACTCTCAGGTAGTCTGTAATAGCAGCAGAAAAGGGACCAAGACAGGTCCCTCTGAGTACCAACACTCAGCAGCGCTCCCTGCCCATGGTGCCCACCCCTCTGGGGCATCCCACACTCCATGCAGCACTTGGCAAAGTGGGAGCCAGGTGAATGTTGGGTCAATGGTGGGTAAATGACTATACCATGTATGGGGCTAATGGTACAAAGCACACACAAATCCTGTCAGTATTGAAGAAAAAATTCAGGTGGCAAGGCTGAAAGTGAAAGCTGATAAGACTGGGTGAATCTATGCATACTAGACTGTCCCAGCAGGCCAGGTGTCCCTCCTTTCCCTGGCATTTTTCTGTTCTTCTTCCATCTTCTCCTGAGGACCCAATCACCTAAATCTTTCTCTTCCATCTCCCGAGTGACACAGGACATGAGGACTGAGTTATGAGGACCTCATCTCCCCATTTTCTAACCTATCTGAACAGATAATTGGTGAGTGATACAAAGGAAGGTCCGAGAAGGCAGTTCTTGCTGCAGGAATCTTTTATCAACCTCACCTACTTTTCTTTACTAAGGGATCCTAGGACAGCTTGATAAATGTCATTTACTTCCTTTAAGGAAAGGAAAAAAACTTGATCAAGAAAAAAAATGCTACTACTACAGTTTGGATTGTGTAGATGTGGTCATGCATGCGTGCATATTTGTTTTTAAGCCTGAGTGTGCATGTGTGTGTGGGCCTGTGTACATGTGGATATGTACATACATGCATGTGTGTATGGACAGAATTCCGCAGGGTTAGTTAAACCCAAGTCACTGGGCATATCAGCTGGTCACCAGCCCCTCTAGCTACTCCCCTCTCAGGTTCCCAACAGGATCTCCTCGATGTAGGTAGGGATTACAGTGGATCCTTGACTTACAAATTCACTTCTTTCAAGAGGGCAGGTTGTAACTCAAGTTGGTCAATTGAAGGCTCAGGCTCCTCTACACAGCCTTCAAAATCTCTCTCCTGTATACAGGCAGATCTCAGTGTCCTTAGAGAGGCTCTGGCCCAGGATTTCTCAGTGAACCCAACCAGAAAAGGATGTTGTAATGTTCCTTCCAGAGCTCTTTAAGGGTTCAATCTGAATCTGAGACCACCTGGAAGCACAAATGGCCAGAATTCAGGTCATAACTCAAGACTTTGGTCATAAGTTAAAACTAAAATTCTGATCATAACCCAAGTTGTTTATATGTCAAGCTGGTCATAACTCAAGGGCCCACTATATATTGGTCTTTTTAAAAAACTTTTAATATATTTCCCCACGATAGTCATGGGTCTATTTGCCATGGAAACACACATTCACTGGACAAATGTAAGAGTGACAAGTAAGAGACACTGCTTCCTTGCTGGATACCAGGTGCAATCCCAGGAGCTTTTACCATCTCAGTGAACCCACAGAACAACATCATGAAGCAGGATGGACCACTCTCGCCACTGTATACAGGCAGACATGGGGCCACTGACTTCAAGTAGCTTTTCCAAATTGCATGCTGGTAAAAAATAGAGCTGAGATTTAAACCCAGGCAGCTAACTCCAACCTGACTCAGGTACCAAGTGCTACATTTTCACACTTACAGATCACACCTTTCACTTTCCCATTTTTAACCTGAAATGTACTGTGTCCCCTGCTCTTCCCCCATAGCATATGTGACCATCTCTGATAGATATGGTGGTTCTCAATGTTCCTTGCCCTGTGACTCAGGGACTTGTGATTTCACAGGCATCCAATGTTGAGTCTAGAATGACAGACCTGGAACCCCAAAGCCATGGGGATATCGGCCTCTGGATTCCAATGAGCTAGGGTATGGAGCGGCTAGAGAAAGTGGCAGAGGGTGCCAAGGACCAAGGCCTTGACCACAAGTGAACCTAATGAAATACCAAAATAGGCTTCCTGCTTCCTGACCCTCAGTTCATTGAAGTCTGAGAAAGCACAGCTGCTCTGCAGCAGCTCCTGAAAGACAAAGGCCAACAGGATCTGACTTCAACCACAGGGAGCCTACATCTCCAGAGGAGAGATGGCTGCAGAAGCTGCAACCTTGAAATTGCAAACCCCAGACACCCCATGAAACAGATGTGCGGTCGGGTGTGCAGGAACCCAGAATGCAGGCTCCTAGAAGCCAGAGCTGCTTGAGCAGGCCAAAAGGAATTGGGGTGATGGCACTGGAAGGGTGCTCCAGGCAGAGGTGCTGACAAGGGCAAAGGCTCAGACGCCTGGCAAGGTGAACAAAGTATCATTCAAGTGCATTCACAGAGCATCAAACTATAAACTCCCCGATACATAAGAACGTCGCCTTAACACACTTTGCTTCTGCCAGCAGGTTGCAGTCAATCTTAAATTCTGTCAATAGTAAAAGTGTAATTTAAATAGAGTAGTTCCTTTGACTATAGTTCACAGAGGATCTAAAGATGAGCTTCTAGAGTCAAGCACACATATTATTGAAGAAATTTCTAATTGACACAAGAATAATTGTACATATTTATGGGGCACAGTGTGACATTTCAGCACATGGGTACAATATGTAATGATCAATCAGATCAGGGTAACTGGCAAGTCTATCATTTCACACACTTATCATTTCCTGGTGTTGGGAACATTCAGAATCCTCTATAATGCAATTTTGAAATATTCAATTAATTGCCCATCATAATTATCCTGTGCTTCAGAACACTGGGAGTTATTCCTCCTGTCCAACTGCACCCCTGTCCCTCTTAACCAAGCTCTCTCCCTCCCCATCTTCTCTGCTGCCCCCAGCCTTTGTTATTCCTCTCTATTCCACTCTTTTCCTCTGAGATCACTGTGTTTAGTCTCCACTTGTTAGTGAGCACATCTGGTATCTACCCTTTTGCACAAACAAACATTCTTAACTAATATGAAATATAGGTACTAGACATGCCAGGGGCTGATTCTAAATCAAAATGAAGTGGAAGGATTAAAAAAAATGGGGGAACCAGAAAAATAATATATGCTAGTTTATAAACATTATTTTAAACATTATACCTTTTGAAATATTAAAAATAACTTCTCTAAAGCAATGACACAAAGTACCTCTTACACTAAAGTGCCAACAATTTTCCAAGTGACTTCAGTCACGATGTCATTTGATCATCACGAATGCCCCTTGCAGAGAGGGTGCCTTGTTTTCTTTATTTCTCAGAAGATGAAGAGAAGGCAATCTCTTCTCCGTGGCTAAAAGGGGCTATGCCAGTGGACTCCTGGCCCTGTCCCCTAAGTGTTGCATCTCAACTTACTGACCATGCAAATCAGTCTTCAAAAACAAATCAGCACATGCACTCACAGAAAGCAGATTTTAAATGCTTGTCATTACCTATCCAATGTATGGGAATCAGAAAATAAGCCAACCTGGATGGCAAACAAGGGCTTAAAAGGCAGCCTTTTCTTCCATGTCAGTCACATCTACAAGCCTGTCCCTGCTTCCAGGACAATGAACATCTCTGCTGGATGACAGGCAGGGCAAGAAAGGAAGGGCAGGGCAGAGAATGAGGTTAAGAAAGAGGCAGTGACTTCATGTCAGAAGGTCTGTTTCCTCCTGGGCTCTGCCACTGCTAAGCTCAAGCCTCAGTTTCTCCTTCTGTAACATGAGGGCTCTAGCTTTCTGACCTCTAGTCTCTTCTGTTGACTCCCTTCTCTGGAGGATCCAAAACTGGGTAAGAATCAAAGTTGATAACAGTGCCGAATTCTTTTTTACTTCAGCCTGAACAGGCCAAAAGGGCCAATCTGATGAAAATTCAGTTTATCTTTAACCATACTGGAAGCTAACTCCAAATAGTGCCCTGAGTTTTTGAAAGAGAACTTTGCAAAAATTTGACATAAACTATGTCTAAAAAATGGCAATCCTAGTAAGGTATAATAGAAAGAATAGGACATTAAGATAAATATAGCCTTTTACAATTTAATGTTCCACTTCGGGCCTCAAGTTAACTGAGTGAATTACCTTTACTGCCTGGATTCAAGGGAATTTGGGCTTCTACTTTGACTGAACAGAAATCTCCCTGGGATATTAGATTTATCCTAGATCATTAATCAGTTCAAGAAGGCTCGGGATTGTCCCTGTGATATCCACATGTGTGCAAACAACATGACTTATTGGACACAGTAGTGTGACTGTGGCCACCAGGTGAGCTGCACTAAAGCAATCAAAGGTTTCCTGGGTATTAATTCTTGGGCCTAAAACTCTGCTCCAAAATGAAGAGAAATACCATGATTCAGAATTTCCATATCTCTCATCCTCTTTCCACACTTTTTCATGTTTCCAACCAAACCTCTCTCCATTTGGCAAAGTTAAAGAGAACCATTCCTCTCGCTTTTACTTGACAAGACTCTTGTGGCCCAGGGACTCACCTTCCTGATGGGGACAAAGTTGTGATATCATGGAACTAGAGAAGTATTAAAACCAAGGTGCCAAACATTTTGTGTAGAGAGCTGATGCAGAAGGGTAGTCCATAGGCACAGTGTATGGTTTCTATTTAGGTGTCCCCTAGAGCCTCAGGCACTCCTACTGGGGGCTTATAGCTGACTTGCTGTTAGGAGGTGGGGCCTGGCTGGAAGAGGTGGTCACTGGGGGTGTGGCTTGGAGGGTCTATCTCCTTCCCAGCTCCTCCCTTCTCTCTCTGCTTCCTGTATGCCACGCCATGAGCAGCTCTCCTCTGCCAGGCCCGTTTTCCATGCTGTTCTGTCTTGGATCCAGCCAGCCACAGATTGAAATGTGAGCTAAAATAAAACCTTCTTCCCTTAAGTTGTGGGTGTCTAAGTGACTAAGGCATATAGCTTACCACTATGCTGGAATTTGGGTCTAGAATGCTCCCCAGAGGCCCATGTGTTTAAGGCCTGGTCCCTGGCCATGGCACTACCAGGAGTGCCATTAACCTTAAAGAGGTGGGGCTCAGTGGAGGGAGTTCAGTTACTGGGGCAGACAGTGGGACTTGGTCTCTTCTTCTTCCCCTCTTTTCCATTTTTCTGCTAAATAGCTCATCCCACTATCTGCTCCTACCATCATGTGCCACCATGGGTCAATCAGTCATGGATGAAGAGCCAAAGAGTAAACCTTTCCTGTCATCAGCTAATTATCTCGGGTATTTTGTTATAATAAAGGAAAGCTGATTAACATGCTTGAGTTGCATAATCAGAATTGAGCTACTCCTCTGATCATTATTAACTCCTGTAATTCCACAGTTGGCCTCTACAGCAAATAATTCCACCCCACTATGGCCTGTCGCTGTTGTTGTAAGGCACAAGTTTGGCTTGCCGTGCCTTCCAGTACCTGAAATCATTTGAGTGTTGGTTTCCTAGAACTCTCTGAAACTCCACATAGCCCCACACTAATTTGGATATTGTTGCTAAAGGATTTTGTGAAGAAAACAGAAAGAGCATGGTGAGGGCACACACACATTTTGCAGGGGTACTGGATGGCTAACTCCGCTTCTCTGGTGTAGTAGGTGTGGTACAAATCTGAGTGAATTTGTCACCCAAATTTGATTGTGTGTGTGTGTGTATGTGTGTGTGTGTATGTGTGTGTGTGTGTGTGTGTGTAATATATGTCGGTCAGTGAACAGACCAAATTCTGTTAGGTTTCTTTCTGGATTTTGTTTCTGTTTCTATAAACGGTGGTGGCAGGAAGGCAGGCAAAAGTGAGTCCTGTTACTACAACTTCCCTCACACCTTGTTGGCTCCTGTTCTCTTTTAAATGACACTGAGTGCAGAGGTGTGTGCTCCTGTGTAGAGAGGGATACTTCAGGGTGGCCTGGAGTGACTTCCAGACACTGCTCTATAAATCAGCCCATTGCTGGTTTCCTAGGCACCCTGACTGTCGCAGGTCAAGTGACACAGTGGTTTACAAACATCACAACTGGTGCCCGCCATCTTTTTGCACTAACTTCACAGTTATGCT